AGCAGGAATCCGAAATCTGAGGATTAACACCGACTCAAAATTCTTAATTCAAAGTGTTACGGATTGGATCCCAAAATGGAAACTAAACCAATGGAAAACTAAGGAAAATAAACCTGTTAAAAATCGCATTGCCTTTGAAAAATTAACAAAGGCTTTAGAACCCTTAAACGTTGTCTGGGAACATATACCGAGCCATCAAGGCCTAACTGGTAATGAAATGGCCGATCAATTAGCAAAAGAAGGTGTCAATAAAGAACAAATCATGGACGATTTTGAAATCGAAGAAGAAAAAGAGGAAGAAATTTGTGATCTTGAAAATGTGATTATTAATATTGCTCCCCAACCGATTGGAAGCACAGAAGAAGAATCAGACGTCAAAGTGTGGAAAGTAAAAAGTGGGTTAGAAAAATCATTTCAGCAATTTGACAAGTCAATGCAAAATAGAGGATTCGATCAAACTAACCTAACATTAGCATGGGACCACGAAGGAATGGATAAAGAATTTACTCGTCCAGAATTAACGCATGTATCGGAAGGTGAAAATGACGAAGAACTCCTTGATACTCTAGAAGCCCTGGATCCATGCCAAAATAGTGATGTCGAAGATGATGCATTCACAGAAAGGATAAGAAAATTTTTGGACAATTACAACAAGCGCCAAGTTTCAAATGTTGAAATAGAAAATTCGCCGCGACCTTCGCCTACATTACCTGCTAAACAAATTGAAGGAAGACAGAGTACAGTACGTTTCAGGGACGATCCAGATGTCATGCATTCCCCCGCTAAGGATTATTCCCAATGGCAAGGATCAATATTTCAAACACCTGGATTTTCCGTCATTCCTGATGCTCAATCTACTCCATTTGTCTACATGAAAACAAATGGTTCAAAAATGGGAAAAAAATCTAGTGTTGTGCCACGCCGACTACAGGAAAAAACTAATGATAATATGTCGGGAACAAAGTGTACACTCATAGAAAAATCTTCCAAAGGTGTAGGTATTCCGTATTGTGATTCCCCATCTTTTTCTGATACTTCTGAAGACAATGACTTTAAAATGACGAAAGACGTGTTGACTAACAATAACGTAATTCAAAAATGGTCAGAACCATTAACATATGAAAGAGACAATTATGCACATTTCATGTCAGAAGATTGTGAACCAGTTGATGCTATTTCAAAACTTTTAGTGGCAACCGAGAGAATCGATCTTCAAGAACTGCAGGAAAAACGACCAAAAATAGGTCAGATACTTATTACCCCTAGTGGACGATATTGTACCTATTCAATAATTGTTAAACAAAGACATTATGACGAAATTGACTGGCGAAATGTAATTGTAGGTTTGAAAAATCTTAAATTAGTTTTGAGCCGAGATACTCGATCTACATGTCGTATGGCAAATACAGGTGATTTGTTAGGTTCCCTTCCCCAAGGTAAGATGACAGAAATACTAACAAAAATATTCCGCGGTGGCGATATCACTATGATATTGTGCCACGGAAAAATTGAAGTCCCGCCCCCAGAATTGAGACCAAAGATTATTTCGGAATATCACGAAAGTTTGTTAGCAGGTCACAAGGGGATAACAAAGACATATAGACGAATTAGGGAACGCTACCTTTGGCCTCGAATGCGAGATGAAATAACAGAATTTATACGAGGATGTCAGAGTTGCCTTCAAAATAAATTAGTTAGAGCTCGTACTCGTGAACCAATGATAATAACCGATACTCCTGCAGGCCCTTTTGACAAAGTATCCCTAGATACCGTAGGAAAATTGCCTACTACCCCAAATGGGAATCGTTATATTCTCACTATGCAAGATAATTTCAGTAAATATTGCATAGCAGTCCCTATTTCCGATATAAAAACAACCACAATTGCTCATGCAGTAGCTACTCATTTATTCTCTCAGTTTGGAGCGCCCAGATGTGTTCTTACTGATCGAGGAGGAAGTTTTATAAGTTCACTCATGAGAAAATTGGAAAGAATTTTTGGAGTTAAACAAATTACCACTTCTGGCTACAGACCTCAAACCAATGGAGCGCTAGAAAGAAGCCATATTGAGCTGACAGATTTTATTAAACATTATGCTGAGGATTTTGACGATTGGGATCGTCTTTTACCTTTTGCGATGTTTAATTATAATACATCAGTTCATGAGGCAACTAATTTCACTCCTTACGAGTTGGTTTTTGGGAAACTAGCTAGAATCCCAAGTTCGTTTCCCCAAGGACCAGAGCTTGAGACTTATGGTTCCTATTTAAAAGAACTTATAATTAGAATGAGCGAAATTCAGGGAATAGCTGCCAAAAATCTCGTCCAAGCGAAACTAAAGTCTAAAGAATATCATGATAGGACTGCCCGCCCTCTAAAAGCGAAAATTGGCGACAAGGTGTTTGCGTATAAAGAAATCCGAGCGAATAAATTCGATAAGAGAGCCGAAGGTCCTTATACCGTAGTAGGATTTACTCAAAATAATAATGTAATCCTAGAAGATGAAAATAACGAAAGATTTTCAAAACATAAAGATAAATTAATGATGGCATATTGTTAATTAAAATCTTTCTCTTTTATCAGGTTGTGAAGAGATTGAAGCAAACTGTGTAAGGAGTACTAAAAAATAAAAAAATCAATATGTACTTAAGCGTTGAAAATGCCACCTGCCAATTTTGAGGATGAAATAGTGTTAAATGGAGAAGAATATATAACGCTGATGTCCCCAGATTTAATTGCAGACGGAATAGACGTATTACTATCTCTAAAAACAAAACACAATTTTATTTCTGTAAATCTTCTAAACGTGGAATATGAAAATATTAGTCATTCTATAGAGAAAATAGGAAACGAATTTCTTTTAGTAGTTGGAAGTGTAGAATTAGAAGTTAACGGCGATGAAATTTTCTTTCTAGTTATAGACCCTAATACGGAATCATCTTTTCAATTTAATTCTGCAATAATTGGAACTAAAACTGCTATAACATTAGGATTAGTTTCAAGCCTAACTGTAGAATATTATCTTCAACATCCCGTTTAATTATTAGGTATATTTAAAAAAAAAAATATATATATATATATATATATATATAACTCAAAATGAGTGCATTTTTAGAAGTCTTGCGTCCCAATGTAGAAGATGTCCCTATTTCGGAAATTAGTCGAAAAAATACACCATTAATTATCAAAAGATTATTAAAGGATTTCGAAAAATCATGGAAAATCCCAAGAACACTAGCTAATTTGGCATATAATGCCATATTGCTAGATTGTCTAAAAACTGCTCAAAATATTCATGATGTTAGAGTTGCTGGTCAAACAATGATCATTTATGATGAATCCGACAATGAAATTCTCGAATCATTGACAGTAAAAGTATTTTCTGGACAAAGGACAATATTTCGATTAAAATCTGGTTTTATTTGTCTATATCCCAATCTCTATGCTATACTAAGATCTATTAAAATCATAGATCCAAAAAGCCTTTTGTATAATTATGTAGTGTATGTTATTCTAAGCAGTAATACACTCACTCTTCAAATAGGTCTAGATATGGGTTTTTCTTCCTGGATATATTATCTAATAAACAACATGAATTGCTGTTTTAGGCCTTTACAATTTCTACCAGATGGTCAATGCTTACACGTCTCTTTCCCATTGTCTCTCCCATTCAAGACACCTATCCACAAAGCTAGGAAAAATAAACTAAACAAAATAGGAATAACTGATTTTCATGAAATACCTATAAATAGGAGATTTACAAGTTGTTTGTGTTCATGTTTTGATTTACCACCATTGTTTAAAGAAGCAGAAGAGTCAAAATATCAAATTATAAACATACCCTATCCTTGGTATTTAAAAGATGATTTCGAATATATAGACCATAATTTCATAGAACGTTACAATGAAAATGACTGGCGACAATCTACTATAGAAAGCTTGTTCGAAACTCACTTCAGGAAAGCGTTAGTCGTTGGAGGGCATTTTCGAACTATTACCTATTACGAAAAGGAACTCGGAATGTCAGATACGCATGTACGACCAAACGAGTGTGAATAGTGCTAATCCTAATGTCAGTATGTATTGAAGAAATTCAAATACAAACACTGTTTTCATTTAAAATTCAATTTTAACATTTATTTCTTCTGTAAAAAATAGGAGGTCTAGATCCCATTCAATAAAATCAATCTGGAATATTTCACCACGGCAAAGAAAGGATGGAAATCCCACTAGTAGGAGGCATTTTAGATGTGAAAAACTACATCGCCATTGGATTCAAGGTTATATTATTGCTAATGATGCTGATCCTGTCTCGCAATATCTACCTATGCTATCGAAAGATATCTAGCAGACGTAGAAGAAACAACAATTTTCCACCGCCACCTCCGCCTCATGTGATGCTCCAGGACAGAGTTGCTTTTGACGTCTCTGTCTGAATAATAGTCGATGCTGAATCCTGCTGCTCCTTCCAAAATTAAATGTGTCCTGCATCAGATCCAGCAAACGACCCAGATTTCATTCCCGTTCAACAAAAGAGTCATACCATTGAAAAATTATCTTCAGTAGCTAAAAGAAAATTTATAATTACTCTCACGAAACTTTTAATTAAAATCAAAAACAATATTATAAAACTATACAAACCATCATCAAACAGGAAACCGAAGCCAATTTTTCAAAAAGAAATCCTACAAAAATAAAATAATAAGAAAAAGCAAAACAATAATGAATTAAGTGAATATTAACTATACGAACCAGTGCATATAATTTTCATCTTGTCAACATTCATCAACAATGCAGCGAGTTTTTGTTTGTTTTTCTACAAATAGTCCCAAAAATTATCCAAATACGATGCTGAACTCTACAACAAATTCCAGTTTTCCCCATTCAAAATAAAATATACGAGCTCCAGTTCTCTCCATCAGTAAAAGAATCTCCATGTGTCAAGTGTAGTTTAATAAAGAAAATGGCCTCTCAGTTCTAACGATGTGAGTGGTAAAAAAAAAAAAAAAAAAAATTGTGATCAGTGCAACGATGTTGACTACATGCGATGAAATTCTACAAAAATAACTATGGTTAAAACAAGTAAAAGAAAAAAAATTTTATATATATATAAGAACGATTTTTTATATACTCACTCTAATTGCTGCTACAGTCGTTCCCTAAGTTAAATTTTAATCTCAGTATAAAGAAGTGAAGTTTTATTTAAAATGGAGATGAAGATGGAAAATTTAAATCTTTTTAAAAATTAAATAATAATAATTAAAAAAAAAAATCAGTTTAAGTATAAAAGAATATATTTTTCAAATAAAAATTTTTCTACAAGCTAAATTAAACATTTTCATATATGTATGTATATGTATATATGTGTATGTATGTATATTATAAGTGAATCGCTGCCAAAATGTACTTTTTGTGAGGATTTAGTTTCCTCGTGGAGATTTTTTTTTTAGATTAGCTTGGGATAATTATACTATATTTTAAAAAAATATAACCCCTAAAAATAAAAAAAAAAAAAAAAAAAAAATTTTTTTTTTAAAAAAAAAAAAAAAGGGGAAAGATACATATATATGACGTAACATACTAAAAAAAAAAGGGGTTATAAAAAAGGTTTAATCATCCACTCCGTACACCACCCGAAATTCGGTTCTAGTAACTCCGTACTCAGTGACGCGCAACTTAAGCGTTACGCATAAGAGTTCATCTTCGGGATTACTAGGCCCACCACACCAGTCTAAAAAAAAAAAAAGAAGAAAAATATAGATTTGATAAACTATAAACATGCATATGTATAAAAACAACATTAACAATTTTACTAACACGGAGGAGGTCCATCTGACTCCCCCTGGTAGATCCATCGGTGTTCCACCGTAGCCCCATCCTCCCCTTTTATTTTTAATTTTAAACGTATGCCCAATACCGTCTCGGTATAGGCATGTGCAGGTTGCACATAGTGGCGTCCCGATGGCACCCAATCTATAAGTAAACAAAATGTTAAAAACATCAAATAAATAATAATAGATAAACAATGAGAAATGCTTAGCTCACCCTCATCCTCCGTCAATCCAACTTCTGAAGAGACCACATCAAGGGCACAAGCACCTGCTACTTGACCTTCACCTACAAAATAATTGTAATTAATATGCAAATATGGATAAGTGTAAAATATATTAAAGATAACTTACTAGAATTTTGTGACTCTATGTCACTAATGTCTGGAGACGTGACATTCTCTTCGCACATTCCTGCTGCTTGTTGACCCTGACCTGTACAATAAAATTTAATAGATAAAAATGCAAGTATTTGCATATATTATATATATTAATGACAACTTACCATCTGAAAATTCCATTGAATTTTGTGACGGCAGGTCATCAAACCCGGGAAATGTGGAATTTATATCCAGCATCCCTTCTGCCTCTTGTATCTCATCTGTGAAGCAAATGTATTATTAGTACACGCATATAGAAACATATTTATGTATACATTTCCTGTCTAAACAATAATTACCTTCCGCAACCCCTTCAATATCTAATGACGCTACGTCACTTACGTCAGGCGATGTCGGAATTAATTCCGACACACCACGTTCTTCATTTTCGACTGAAAAACAAACATAATATCAAGGATACACATTCTAATCTTATATAACATACATATTAATCAGAAACAATAACCTACCTATCATGGTCAAGTTTTCAATATTTGGGAGACTACACACTTCAGGCAAACTAATACCTACAGCCTCCTCCACTGAAAAAAAAAAAAAAAAAAAAAATATATATATATATATATATATATATATATATATATATATATATATGTAAATGTATGTAAATATGTAAATTTCCATTTAATATACATAAATAAATTACACTTACACGTCATGGGCAAGATGTGCTCAAGACCACGACTATGGAATGCAGCACTGCATCTGACCGCCGCTTCGACTTCGTCGAGTTCATCATCGGCATCGGACCCATTTTCGTAATCATAAGCCCTGTACCAGTGCCACCCATCTATAATTAAAAACAAGTTAAATATTGATTCCCAATGTTAATGTTTTCTTCATATAATTCACATTTTTACCCTCTTCAATGGTGAAGCGGTATTTGTCACCAGTCTCAGGACATCTGGTGTAGACAAATCCTCCTTTCGCCTTTGCTGTAATATCTAATAAACCCTTAAGTTACAACCAACTGAAACCTTCATTCATGTATGTGTATCTAAGTGTATGTACATGGATTATTATTGAATTTTCTTTAAATGTTACAACCCGTTAAATATATAAACAAGAAATAAATAAATGAAAATTATTGCTCAAATATTAAAAAAAAAAAATATTTTATAAATAATTAAATATTATAAAATACAAATTTATTTATATATATAAAAAAAAAAAAAAAAAAAAAAATTTTTGATGATAATAGTGCAATTATATTAAAATTTAAATAAAAATTATTACTAAAGTTTAGTAAAAGTTTTATTAAATAATTGTAATTTATAATAATTATCTCAAATTTAATAAAAAAATTGATAAATTTCTATTTTTATTGTTCAATAAACAATTTTTGTTAAATAATAAAAATTATAACAAAATTTATTAAATTTATTAATAAAGCGCAATTTTAGGTAAATTATAAAAAAAATTACCTGATAATTATAAAAATTGTTAAATAAATAAAAAAAAAAAGGGGACATAAAATAATTAAAATTTTGCAATAATAATGCAATTATTATTCTTTCTAATTCGAAATGATTTCAAGTCTTACATAGATTATATTATATTCATCTATATCGGATTTCCTCAAAATTTCTATATAGATTCTATATTGTTAGGCCTATATAGAAATCACATAAAAACCCCATATACATTCTAGAACATTTGACCTACGTCAATAATACATTTAAGTCCTATATAGATTCTACATACTATGGCCTACATAGCGCATATATATATCTTCTATAGAGGTCCTATATTACTTAGCCTACATAGAGGGGATGTAGTCAAGCGACAGATTGAGCATTCGTTATTAGATAGGCCGACCGACATAGATCCTACATTGAACCAACTTTAAATTTAATTTTAACAATTTTTTTTTCAAAGTAATAAAAATTATTATTGAATTTCGTAAAAATTCGATAACTAAACAAAAATACGTTAAAATCAGATAAATTTTGGTAAATTTTTATTATATAACTAAATATTAAAAATTTGTTAAATAAACAATTTTTTTTAAAAAAAAAGTTAACAAAAATTCCCATAATTTTTATTTAAATAAACATTTATTAAATAATTTATAATTCTTGGTAAATTTTTATAAAATTAACTAATTAAAACAAAGAAATAAATAAATAAAAATAAATTTTGTAATTATTAAAAATTTGTTAAATAAATAATTTTTCTAAAATTTATAAAATTATTATTGAACCAAATATTTATTAAATACTTTAATTATTCTTACTAAATTTTAAATTAGTATTGGAGGTTTGTATTAAATATTAAAAATTTGTTAAATAAACAATTTTTTTTAAAAAAAAGTTAACAAAAATTCCCATAATTTTTATTAAAATAAACACTTATTAAATAATTTATAATTCTTTGTAAATTTTTATAAAATTAACTAATTAAAACAAAAAAATAAATAAATAAATAATAATATAATAATTATTAAAGAAATTGTTAGATAAATAAAAAAATTTTTTTTATAATAATAATATAAGTATTATTAAAATTTAAATAATTATCAAAATTTTATTATATGTACCAAATTTAATTATTAAATTTTTGAAAATTGTTAAATAAACAATTTTTTTTATATGTATAAAAAAAAAAAAAAAATTTTTTTTTTTTGCTAAAAATTTATAACATTAAATAAATTTATTAAATAAACAAAACTTAGTAAACTTAAAATTTTTAACGAAATTTCTATTAAATAAATAATTAATTAATAATTAATTTAGTTAACTAATAGATGTTGTTTATTAGATAAAAATATAGGAGAAATTCATTCATAAAACTCATTATATACACTGTGCATTTAAATCCTATATTGTGGTCACTATGTTCAAACCCTAAGCATGTATACTCTATATATATATATACTGTGTACAAGGCATGAGCCGTGGCGCCGAGCTGTCTATACACGCACCCCTCTAAATAGATGGTACCCATGCCTAATAGCGCTTTAAATATATGAACCAAGACAAAAAAAAAAAAAATGCAATTTTAAATGTCAATTTATTTTTATGAACAAAGAATTTTTTTTTATAAAACATCAATAATAAAGTTGAAAATAATTAATTATTCTAATCAATTTTAATTTTACATTTACAAAATATTTTGATTAAGTAATTTTATATTGCTAATAAATTATAAACAATTAAAATTTTAAAGAAAGTTTAAAAAAATATATATATATATATATTAATTATAATCGATTGTTAATAAAAAAAAAAAAAAAATATTAATTATATTTAAAATTATAATGAAATGTATGTTATTAATTTAATTAATAAAAAAAAAAAAAAAAAAAAAAAGAAAATTAAACAAATATAATAATAGTAATAATAATATATTTTAGTTTTAATTTTAAAATATTTTTTTTTTTTGTAATATAAGGTGTCTGGGTTCATATTATGATCATCGCGCTGGAACTGTGTATACATGTATATCTATATATGCTGTCATCAAGTGTAAGATGCGGCGCCGCATCGACTATATACATACCCCTCCAAGAGCATGGAATATACATTTGATAGCATTTAGAAAGCAAATTCAAAATTATGAACGATTTTCATCTTGAAATATTTTTAAATTGTTTAATTAATATTTAATGATCAATAATAATTATTATTATAAATTAATAACAAAAATTATTAATTTTATTTGAAATCTATAAAAAAAATAATAATAATAAATAAATAAAATTTTATTATAAACAAAATATTAATTAAAATTATTAAATAATTATTAAAATAAATAAATTAGGTTAAAAAAAAAAAAAAAAAAAAAAAAAATTACAAATTGTTGTAAAACACCCGTTAAAACATTGTACTTACCATATATGTCTAAAGTCACCGTGCTGTTATCAATGTTATTGTCCATTGTCCTCCACTACACTTTTTCAAATTCTTAAATAAGAATAGTTTTTACAATAATAGTTTTTTTTTCTGTTTTTAAAAAGGGGTTTTAAAATAACAAAATGCTAAAAATGAGAAAGAAAGGGGAGGAGATATTTTTAAATTTTGCTTCACTACACACAACTGAACTAAATCACTTCATGAAATGAACTGATTTGAATAAGTACAAAGACGTTGATACAGGGTCCTATACTGTAGCAGTGCTTAGAAGAGTCACCAAGTAGACACAATATTTAGATTATATGTCGATATACAAAGTATAAGGAATGCTGTGGTCGAGACCATGAGTTTTCGGGGACGAAAACGGAAAAATCCGCGGTGGATTGTTACGAACTATCGTAACGAAATTATAAATAAAAGATAAATAAAATGATAATAAATAATTTTCAAGAATAATTGAAAATTATTTAAGAATAAAATCTCCAAGTCGATGCCACAATGTATATAGGCATGTAATTTGAATCCCCGATAATCGCGCGCGTTGAGTGATACTCCACACACACAGTCTTATATTCTCGTTGCTTCTAAAAATGTATCTATGACTATGATATTATAATATAACTTTGTTAAACTGTTATATTATAATATATTATTTTATTCTATCTTATGTTATATTATTCTATATTATGATTTATACTATATTATATTATGCTATATTATAAACTATATTAATTATCTAATACCAATATTCAAGCTTGAATATTATAAATATATGCATGAAAAATATAATATAGTGTATTTACCTTATATAAAGATACTAAAATAAAACAATTATACTTTACTCATTTTTATTAATAATTTGCAGTAATTAATTAATTAACAATATGCAAATTATTGTTAATTCATGATTTTTTTTTATTAATAATGATAAATCGTATTATTATCATTGTTAATTACATTTACTAAAATTAATATTAATAATTAATCATAATTATTATTATAAACAATTGGATATATTACCAATACTATTTTTCTACTTATTAGAATCATCATTATCAAATATTATTTCAAAGAATATGCATTGTATATGCACGTATGCGTGTGCATTATTTTTATCGTGTGTACGTGTGTTCATAGTATGCCAAAGTGATATGCATAGATATGTGTATACATTGTTTGGTTGCACATTTCTACGCATATTATAGTAACCAACAATAATGTGATTATTATATTGCAATTATTATATTTACGAAAATGTATTATTTTATAAGAAGGGAGAAGAATCGCATACGTTAATTCTATCTATCTTTCTCTCTCTTTCTCACGCGTTCAGGTGCAATGAGTCTCGCAGCGTGGATGCGGTACACACAGACACGGACTCTCCATAGCCTGCGTAACGCATATGTGTGAGGCGCTTGAGGAGTATCGCGCGATGCAAACACTGCCTTCCTTCCCCTATTCTTTTCCTTATAATACCTTCAAATTAAAAAAAAAAAAAAGGAAATAAAGATACAATAATTGTTGATAGCTTAAATTGGAACATGTCACATTTTCCAAGCACATATAAACTCGCAACAATTAAGATTTTATTTTAAGAGGGTCAATTTTGTAAAAAAAAAAAAAAACAAAATGCATATAAAAAAAAAAAAAAAAAAAGAGAAGAAAATTTTTGAGACATGTATGTCGTGCATATATGCATGTGTACTAAGGTAAATGTACGTGTGTATGCGTAAAATGTATATGCATATATAAAAAGGAAAATAGTTTCATTTTTAATATGAAAACGATAATCTGTGCAGAACTATGACTGCTCTGGAATTCAACAAAGGTTGCGAGTTATACTTTATTAAAAACACACATATACACTTACACATATGGAGATGTGCAGTTCCAATAGTGTCAACAAAGAAAAGAATAACAAGAATCATGGGTTCTGAGAATATCGATGGACGATGATCTAAGTTTTCTTATCGATACCCCTGAAACCCCCAGAATCCTTCTACCCCTGATTCACTAATCCCACTAAGTGCATCTCGCGATGCTCTTTATAAGCAGAAGCTCATAGGGCCTCATTGCCTATTCGTCTTCAGTCAATCACTTAGTACGTGTTACTGATTTTTGCATTATTTCTTTAAAAAGTGAACTTAGAGTTTAAACTGTGGAGAAAGCTCAATAATATACCTGCTGAATCACGATAGATTTTCGTTGAGCCAGGTAAATTAACAGCAGTGCTTAAATTTCTAAAATTAAAATTGCTGAATCACGATAGATTTTCGTTGAGCCAATTTTTAATTTTAAGAATAAGGCCCGTCTGCGAGCTGGCTCCAATTTAAATTCTATTTTCTTTGGGCGGACGTAAAATTAAATCGAACCTTGAACCGGCTGAGTCCCAATCGGTTGATCAGTACAGTGAGAAATTATTTAATAAATTATTTATAATTTATTAAATAATTTTTTGTTCTTAAAACCGGCCAGTCCGTACGGATTGTACCTGCGCCGCTTGTGTCTGATAGGGTACCGGTACCGCGTTTCGAGACGCGGAAATACGCATAACACCTTTCTTTCGTTTTGCCCGTTGATTGTGTGACGAGATCGCGAGAATTCTCCCTTCTCAACAAGCTCTCTCGACGGTAGTGTGTAAGAGAAATCTAGCCGTAAGTAATAAAAACTGTATCGTTCCAAAAACATTATTCTTTACAAAAGAAAGCATATAATGTGTAATTTTTGCAATTTTTACTTTGATTTTTAATAAATTTTTGTAAACTAAAATTCCAATTGTTCTATTCAATCAAATAGACCTTTTTATTTGTGCTGTCAAAAATAGTGTGGATTTTCATCTCAAAGCTAAGAAACATTATTTACGATCTAAAGATTAAATTGGCAGTTTCGTCTTCTATCGGCGATATAATTAATCGAACCCACATTAAAAATAAACATTATTAAGTTGAATGTTCATTTTGACTTTTTAATGGCAACTTGGTTCCTCCGGCGAATAGAAAATTTTAAATAATTGTTCAAAATTATAGAAATTAATAAATTAATTTTCTCGTTCGTAACATATACATGTATATACATGTGTTTTAAAGACTTCATTTTTTTAAAGATATTTTGCCATATTCTCCACGTGTATATACACGTGTATTTGCATGTGTTTTCATGACTTAATTTTTTTGATGATATTTTGCCATATTCTCCACGTGTATATACGTGTGTTTTCATGATTTAATTTTTTAAAATATTTTATAAGAATTTGTTAAATTTTGTATTTAATATATTATACTAATATTAACAATATTGAATCATTATCGAGTGTTTAAGTATATAAAAATATCTCTTTTATTTATTTTTTTTAGTTTCAAGAAAACATTTTACCGTGTATTAAATCAAATTCTAAAAATTATTTATATATTGTGCATGATCTAAAAACATGTTTTTTTAAAGTTATTATGAAATCTCAAAAATCAACATTTTTTAATTGGTATAATTTTTTCCTCTTCAGAAGGATTAAAAGAATGAAATGCAATTGTTTATTTTTAAAATTTTTTATTGTCAATTTCTTTTATCATTCGTTATTTTTCAGATTTTTATTTATGTTAATACCAGAACCCACCCTCAGTTGTCTGACCCACCCTGGGTTCACACTTATATCGGGCTTTTGTTCTGTCTTTCCGCAGGCAGGTAGGCAGCCAGCCAAGCTATGAGTTCTCGGAGACTAACATTAGTGTTTTTCGTTATTGAGAGATAGTGAAAGAACTATCGTTAAGATAAATTTACAAAAAAAAGATAAAGATGCAAGACAGTAAAACTGGATTCATAGCAGAACCGAAAAAAAGTTACCTCTATTTTTTCTTTTTGCAAAATAATTGTTTATAATTATTTATTGCGAAAAGATGTAGACGGATAAAAAAGTTGTTAACAGAAAAGTTGCTTATTTTTTCACGCTCTTTCGAATGGGGGGATTAGTTTTTTTAAATCAAATTTTTTTTAAAAATTGTTTAAACTAATTAGATAAACAAATTATTTTAAAAAAAGAGAAAATAAGGGTAACTTTTTTCAATTATACTATGAAACCAATAGTTAGTTTTGATGTTTTTGCAATTACTAGAACATGGGTTGTGATCTGCTTTTTTCCATTTGTTTATAATTATTTATTGCAAAAAGGTGTGGAAGGATAAAAAGTTGCTTATTTTTCCACGTTCTTGCAAATGGCGGTATTGATTTCTTAAAAATCGAAAATTTTTTATTAAATTGTTTAAACAAATTAGGTAAACAAATTATTTTGCAGAAAGAGAAAATAGATGGTTTTTTTCGGTTATGCTATGAATCTAATAGTTAGTTTCACGTTAAAAACGCTGTCTAACCTATAAGCCTAAATGCATTAAATTGATTATACATGTAAGATGATCAATGAAGTATTTTATTTTTAAAACAGAAATTTTTTTATTAACTTTTTTTTATTAAAACTAATAAATATTACATTTTTCATAATTTTTAATTAAATTATTTATTCCTTTTTCGGTCTTCTGCAAGAAATAAATAAAATATAAATTATTTTTAAATTCAGTCTAAAATGTTTTGTATTTGTTATCAGAGGCATTTCATAGGAAAAGACATGGTCATTTCTCGAATTTTTCTCATAATTCTTTAAATTGTAGTGATACTGGTGTTAAATAAGTGTACAAAATTTGAAATTTTTAATATACATCTATTTACATTAACAATGAGCAATATTTTTTTCACTTTCTTTTAGCTTTTTCCCTACTAAAAATAGAGAATAATGTTGAGAATTAATAACATGTAGTAAGGCAACAGCATAGTCAGACCCCTAGATCAAAACTTTTTTTTTGTGTGGCTGTGTAATCATCTGTTAATAATTTGGATAGTGAAAAAATCTATTTGCATTGGTTTTATTTGACACAGAATTAAATGATTTTTTAAAGAAAAAAAATGTCAGATTATCGTCATTCTTTTAAATTTTATTAATTATTTAAATAATTTTTATTATTAATTTAACACCTGATAATCCGAAATAGTTCATATAGGGCTCGTTGCATGTGGATTTGGATAAGCAGTGAACATATTTAACACCAGTATCACTACTATTTAACGAATTTAAAAAAAATCCACGAAATAAACCCGGTAACAAGCCTGGAATTAAAAAGAATAAAAAATTTCTTATAATAATTAATATTACAGACAAACAAATATTGTACTTATAACACTTAAAACTAAGAATCAAAAATCTTTCACGCATGGGGGATCGAACCCTAAACCCTAAGAACGCAAGTCGGATACGCATACCGCACAGCCGCGCTGACTTTATCAAACCAAAAAAAAAAGCTTGAAGTGCTGACTTAATAATTTTTAAAAAGATTTTATGAAATAAAACTGGATATCAATTTCAGTTAAATTTTTTTAATAAATTATTCTTACCGTGAATAATAATATTGAAACAGAAAAAAATGATTGATGTATTACATAATTAAAAATAAGTTAATAAAATACGACTGTTAAATATGAATGGTAAACAAATTTTTAAAATTAATATTTAATTATTAATAATATTTAAAAATTACAGTAAAAAAATTACATTTGCTTTATTTTTAAAACTATTAGAAAACAATTCTCAACTTATTGTTATTGTATGCATGATAAATAACTTAATGCACATATTTCAAAGAGTATTAAAAGAACTAATAAAAACATAAATATATTTTATATATATAATAATAATACATTACAATTACATTAAAAATTTTGAGAGAAAGTATTGAAAAGAAATTAATAAATATATTTTTTAATAAAAAATCATCGTTTTCTACCTATTGGAATAATTTAAAGACTTTTTTATTTAATGTTTTTTTACCACCGACATATTACTGATTCGGTGTATTTGTCAGTTCACTGCCAGTACTGAATGTTAATACCGACGGCCAGTATTGGATCAGTACCATACCGGTGTTTAATTACGGCAAGCTATGGACATTTCTACTTGGGTGGTAACAGTTAATATGGTGTTGGTTTCTATGGAAACGGTGGTCATAGTAACGGTTTCCATGAAAACGTATGCTATGGTAACTGTTGCTATCGTAACTGTTACCATGGAAACCATACGAGTCTACTATGGACGGACACCAAATCAAAACTACAAGGCTTTCAGCCCTTGGCCATGAAACCCTAAAAAGAGGGAATTTTTCAAATTAAAAGGAATTAAAAGTTTTAATTTTATTCAATATAAGCCTCCTTACCGGGCACGTCTTTTCATATCAAATACCTCATAAAATAATTCTTACTAGAAAAATTTGGATATAATGTGTCTCTTAATGATCTGATTAATTGACTTTGAAAGTAATTTATTTTCTTCTTTAATTTGGCGGCTTCCAATCCTTTAATTTTCATGTTTTTTAATCTATGTCCAAAACATTCTGAAACAAAGGAAATATATTTTTTTAATAAATTAAAGACAGACTTAAAAAATATGTTTAGCCAAATATTGAATTTTTTTGTTTTAAGGTATTAGTCGCGTAAAATCATTTTCGTCATATATTTTTTAAATTTTGCATGAGTGTTTCTGACATAATTATCTACAAAATAAGACCATTCCCATCGATTTTGACCGTTCCTAAGCTTTAAAATATCATTTCAAAGTTGATAC